GTCATGCAGAGTATGCAACATGCATACACCACCCCAAGACCACAGGTGTTTCAAGTTGAAAAAGTACTTAAACTTAATTACAAACTTCAAAACATGACATTTCCAAAAATGACATTGCCACAAAATTTTAAATATGAAATCGATGCATTTTATTATTCGTGTAATCTTTCATTCGAATAAAAAATACTGTTCGATACGAGGGCGAAAATTTGTTGAAAAAATGCTATGAAATTCAGATCGGATGCCGACAATCTTAGCTCGCTATATCATACATTAATTAAATGAAATAAACATAAAATATTAACTAACACCCGGTATATTGAAGAATTTTGCAAACCAAAAATAATATCCTCAGAATGCAAAGAAAAATAGCTGAAAGTAAAAGAAATCAATATAAACCGTATTTTATGCGTTTTGTGTCCGATAATGGACAAAATTAATACTCCAAATGCATGCCAAGGCGTAAAGCAGCAACAACGCTACATATTTAAGTAAAAATAATTAAGTATCTGAACGAAGAATTCTAGTCCCTTCCCAAATTTGATTGTCCTGACTAATCACCTGTTAGACCTAATTAATTTTAGAGGGTTTTAAAGTATTGCAATTGTGATGTGTTTTAATATGTGATATGATGAGGCTGTTGACGAACTGTGGTTCTTTTTTAAATTAATGAATTTTTTTTAACTATCTGTTATGTTAGAAAAACTGATGATGGTGGATAGAGACAATAAATGACTGAAACGCAGGAATAAATTTGATTTGGAATTGGTGTGAAAGTTGACGAGAGAAAAGTTTTCAGTCAAACTTCCAGAAGCACTAGTGTGGACAACCCTGAAAATATTGCAACTAATCATGAAATGAACAGAGCAAACGTAAATAACGGCTAGTAATGCGTAGCATTAGAACAATTAATTAGCAAAAAACACATCCGCCTTCTTGGAGAGCGTGAACCGTGAACGTTATCGCAAACCATTATTAAATAATTACCGAAATAGCAGCAGTCATAAGTGTGTCGACACCTCATAATATCGAGTCAATAATTCTCGCATTGGCACTGTTTATAGTGCAAAAAACCGGCAATTTTTCACATGCCCATCTATTTGCGTTCCGTCTGGACCAATCAGTTGAAGCGTTTTCCTTTCGACACCTGATCGATTTAAAGGTGTTCCCAGAAATCCACCAATTAATCAGTCTAATCGAGTGCGATTTTTCACGGCCCCACCGTATCATTCCGGTTGGCAAATGAGCCAGTTAGGAAGTAATAAAGGCGCTTTAAACACATTGCGACACGGTCGTTTTTTCTCTACCAATTCGTTTGCCGCACGTGTATGGACCATTTTCCATTGGGAATTTATTGAAAGCAATTCCCTGGTTGCCCCAATCGCCCGACTTATTGGCTTCAGGAAAAAACACATTCCGCAATGTAGCAATCACACAATAACCGCGTGGGCTAGCAAATCCCAAAATGCTGTAAAAATAATGACCCGGCCTGGCAGAGTGCAGTAAATAAAGCCCCCGACTTAACCGGCTTTCAATATTTGCTCTCGCTACCCAATTTATATGTTAATTATCTGCGAACGCTCCAATTCCGCTCTATAAACTCGAATCAGCCAAATATTTATTGCGCAATTAAACAATTTACATGAATAATGCCGGCCATGGGCCATGGGCCATGGGCATACCTCCATACTCTATCTATCTCTTTCTCACCCCCTGAGATGCCAGTTTCGAGTGGGTTTACACGGCAATCAGTGGACGGGTTTTTTTGAGCCGGACTTGCACTTATTTCACTTTGTTGCCTGCATCCGCTAGTTAAAACCCTGACATGATTATTGTCATTATACCGCTGGCTATTGTGCACATTTAAGCGGAAAACGACGGCATGCAAGTGACACGACACGCAATTAACTAATTTGAAACTACATAAAAGCGCAACTAATGTGAATGGATCATTCGATCACACAGTCATTCTGTTTAATGGAACAGAGCGAGTGCGAAAAGTCACAAACAGGGGCTAAAATGCCTGGCAAACGTACAGGATTTTTCTCTTGTCACTCGCAAGCGTTTAGGATCATGATGTGGTGTAAACTAACCCGGTAGACCACACCCCTTCGACAAACGCCAGATTCCCCCAGATGCGCTTTAGAAATGTCAACCTGAAGGGTTAAAAGTGACATGAGTTGACTGCGTTCACACCGCCACCTTTCAGGCACAAAGTCACTGCCAAACAACAACGAACTATAGTTCATTGTCTCTGATAACATGATTAAGACCCTTGAAATTCAGACAATGTCACGTAATAATCGGCGTAACAATTCAATATCGATATCACATATTTAAAATGTTAAGCGAGATTATGGCTGGTTATTACAGGTGCGCGTATTTGATTCCAGGCATTAATATCGATGATACAACGTTGGGTAACAATCGCCAGTTTGGAGAGAAAGTTGCACAATTGAAGATTTAGTCGAGTCATGGGCGAAAATTGCCCATAATGAAGACGAATGTGAGAGAAATCGTCCGCGCAATTTGGTTCCCGGAAGAGTAAAGTCTATTTTTACCCGTTACGGACCCAAGCGAGCAATAACCCGCACACTTCCCATAGCCGCATTAAGCGCTAGCACTATAATCGGATAGAAAACCGAAATTTGCACACCTTGAAATTGGTCAAAACATGTCCAGTTTGCCATTGAAATTCGGAACCAGAAGATGGATTAGTTGGGAAAAGCTATTTTTCGACCGTGAATATTTCACTAATTAAACAAAAACAATCAACACTAAACCGCCAGGTTAACATTTATCCAGTTGACACTTGCTTTGAAATTTCAATGTAACCAAAATATGTCACAGCAATGATCAGATGGAAGATTCTTGAGAGCGCTTAGAGCATGACTTGGGAGGTTTCTCACATGTTTTTGTCAAAACTTTGGCAAATGTCAACCTCTTGAGTTTAAGGAAAAACCTTCAAGAGACCCAAAGGAAACCTAATTAAATGCGCTTTCTGACATTAAAAAAACAAATTCATTCCTGGGTTTCAGTCATTTATTATCAATCAAAATACGTTTCGGTGTATTTTGATTTTTTTGCTCTGCAAAAAATGCATGCCAAGGCTTAAAGCAGCAACAACGCTACACATAAAAACTGATGATGGTGGAAAAATACACCGAAACGTATTTTGATTGATAAATAGAGGAATGAATTTGATTTGGAATTGAAACACAGTCAGGAAAGTAAATACAATTAAAAAAACAGTGGATGTTTTCCGACTCCAAAGCCAAAGGATGCAACGTTTCGCCACTACAGAAAGCTGGCTTCTTCACACGTGCCTACTTGCGCTTCCATGACAAATGACACTAATTTGATCAATCTCTTCACCGCAATGAGACAGACAAAGACACAAACGCTAAAAGTGATACGGGAACATACCGTATCGAAGATGCTTTTTGCATTCATCGTGCTACTGATTGCCCTCCTCAAGACAGGCCCCTGGCTCATGTCCAGTAGAAGAAGAATGGGGAAAATGTCGCTCACTTCCCTGTCACCCTGTGTGTGTCCAATTACAAACCAACGCAGCCTGGATTTTTGACTTGAACCGACAAAATATGCGCAACGTAAACAAGCGCGAGAAGCACAACAAAGACGCAGCAGGCTCGCGTTTAATCGCGTTTAACGAGATACTGATTGAACACGGAAAAAAATTGGAGAATTTTCAGGTTTCACACAGTCACACAGATGCAGGACGGGATTTCGGAATTTACTTTGCTCCCAAACCAGACGACTCACTTCTTGTCCGGGCACATTCACCGGGATTTCCCAAGCAGGCGTAAAAAATGCAAAAAAATCATCGCAGCAACCTGATCTCACAAACGACATCCAACTGTTGCCATGCTCGACCTTAAAACCGCGTGAAACTATGTGGTTTGTTGCCAAGCCAAAGTCGGTTCTTTTGCGGTTCTGGCAAAACTCACCGTTGAAAAATCGGCAGCTGCCTTGAGGATGTCGGTCCGAGACAGTTGCGAAACGTTGAGCATTTCAGCCCCAATCTGTGCACTAATTAAATCGAATAAAACGCGCCGTCGATTTCCACTACAAGTGGTGTTGATACTGAAGAATGAAGAATCCGCTTCGGTCCAGCCGCGAATAAATGGGGATTCCAACAGGCTGGCAAGACCGGTTTCGACCGAAAAGCGATTAATAATCAGTCGACAAGAATTGCATATATTTATATATTTGCGAACTGGTTTCGACCTGTGCTTAGACCCAATGAAATCCTTTGATACACTGTTGGCCTCTGTTGCCGTGACTTTCAACATTTCCCAAAGACACTAAAGGGCGGTTCAGACGCCACGCCTTATCGCAGCCAACTGAAAGCGCCCTCATTTTTTCTAAAATATTTGCCGTTTTCGCCTTTTCGGAAAACGGTCGTTTTGCTTTGCTTCTTTGTGACTGAACACCCATTAAAATGACCAGAAACACCATAGTTTTTCGTGAGAAAATGCCAAAATCAAATGAAACCTTGCAACGTAGGCACTTTACTTCATAAGAACAACATCAGGAAATGCTGCAAAATCTGCAAATTCCTCAAACACAGTTTCATTGGTTGGCAAACCAAGCCAAAAGCCCTCTAACACCCTCAACCTAAATATTTCACAACATTTGCAACACACTGAAGCCCAAAACGCCTGAAAAAAGCCATCAAGTGCTATCTATTGACACTAAACCACTCAAAAATAGCAATAATCGATCAACTTACAGATAGAACGACACTCTCCGGACAGGACAAGTACACGATAATTGGTTGAATCTTCGCGGGGTTTTCCATCGGAATCAAATCGAACCGATCGGAGCCGAGGTGAAACTGTGACTGAAAAACCTCTGCAGCATCAACATCATCAAACAATTGCCTATTATGTATTCGAATCGACAGCTTATCAGATAACGGCTGACTAACAGTGCAAATCACATAAGTGTGATCGCAAATACGGATCCACCGTTATTGTGCGAGTGCCGGCGGCCCATTGACTCAGCAACTTTTAGAAGAAAAAGGCCTAAAAACGGCAAATCTGCGTAATTTCCCTACGGTCGTAACAAGAACTTTCGCATTATTGATATGCCGACGTTTCGCTACCACACACACCCATCATCTTCACACATTTCGATCGTCATCTACTTAATTTATTGGCATGCATCAAGTGAAACCGATTTTCCCATTCAAGAACGTAGCTGTTGTCGGATCTCTCACTCGCACACATAGCAGCCATGCGGCAGGCCAGATGGCCAACGCAGTGCTGTGTTCGAACTTGATACCTTCGCGGCTAAAATTTTGAACACGGAAAAAGCTCAAAAATATTTTTAAATGTCTTACTAGTCAAAACAAGACAGTTATTGAAAAAAATATGTTGAAGATTTTGCGCTTATTAGGCCGTGTTCGATACGAATTTCGCCCTGGAAGCATCTTGCAGCGGCAAACACGACGCTGAAGATGCTGCCATGCGTGCTAGGGAAACGTTTGCAGCACAGTCGTGTGGAAATGGGAAAATGAGCGAAACAACGCCTTGAATACAGATGGATTACAAATTATAAACAAACCATACACTCAAAAGGGTGCATGTAAACGAGCTACTCACTTGATCGAAAATTGATTGGTAGTACAGTCTAATATCCTCATTGGTCAAAAGTCGTCCCGCCCCCATTGTCCAAAAGACTTATTAACCCGTTAATTAGGTACACAAAACAGACAAAAAACTAACTAAAAAAAGTCGCTGGCGCGTTTGGTACTTAGTTGTGCGTGCGCGAGCGCGTCTGTGGTCACGCTGGTACGTGGGTGAACTAAAAGCCGACCGAAGACAGAATCTGCGCCAAAGAGAGTTGGGAAATCCCAGCTACGGGGTGCGATCGATTGCGTCCCATAGTTGGACTTTTAATGCATGCGCAACGCGAGAAAGCGCACGTCCCTGACCTGGTGACATCGGCGATGCGTTCGGGGAAGTCGGGCCTAAAACGACGCCGACCATTGACACGTTTTAGTAGCTGTGACGTCACATTTTGCGCCAGTAGCGCTTCAAGAGCTGCACAATTTGGCCACAAGTGTTATTAACCACTGATCACAAATGGGACCTTCACGCAACCAATGACAGAGCTGTCACTTTTTGACGTTGTCCCACTAGGGCACCGTTGCGCAATGTGTCAATCAACAACAACGTCAATAAGAACAGTGACTTACGCTTCTACTCAGCTTCCTGAAACAAAAAAAAAGTATGTCTGAAACAAACGTCAGCCAATCCGGACCATCATGTCCAAGCAAGCCCACTTCGATCAGCAGCTTCCCCGAACGGCATGTATCGATGGTCAAATAAATCATCCGATCGTAAAAAGCGGCGATCGGTGACTAAAGCGCGCATTCCGGCGCGATTGTCCCAAAAATAAACGACTTGCAATGAGCAAAAAAAAATACCGTTCAACGTTACCGCCAACATTCCTACCTTGTAGCTAAAGGTCGGGATACGATTGCCCAATGCATAGTTCGCATCCTTTTCGCCAAAAAAAATTCAACACCGTATACCAGGGGTCGTCAATTGGGATCTATCGGTGCCTTGACAGTCGGCCTTAACCTTGCTTCGGGCGTTTTACAGGTTAAAGTCAACACTGTGTAATGACGCGTTTACCGGTTGCGCAGCAGATGGTTCGGCAAACGTCAGAAAATATTAAATGACAGGAGTAAGTTGTCATTTGCTAGTTTAAGTGGCAAAGTGACAATGTTTCCTCATCCCGGCGGCCATTTTGAACCTACGTGATAACGGTTGATAACAGTTGGCGTTCACTATTTCCGAATTCCAATGAATGACTGAATGAACGGGCAAAAACGCAACATTCCTATGACGAAATCGCATTCTGAAAATTAATAAATAACAAACGCACCTATTAATAGCCCACAATTGCCCAAAAAAATCGTTTCATGTACCGCTAACGACATAATCAAATGAAAATTGCGCAGGGTCGGACTGTCACCAATTTACAAACATTTCGGTGGATTTCGATAGAAAATGTCACATGAGGAAAGTGTCGATTTTAGCAAACATGTCCCTATCGTCCCTGTCAAAGTACATTGTTATTGCAACTGACAGCTCTTAAAATGCCAAGATTTGGCACAAATGCTTTGGAAAGGGCTTTTGGGTTAGTTTGGGTCACCCTCAGGTTTCGGACGTTTTAGTCCTCCTCAGGTGCAAGCTAAATCCAACTAATAGGTCCGAAACCGGTCCTGGGGAGTTGAGCATTCCAAACCATTTGTGCCTCTTTTGTTAACCTACATGTCTAAAAAACCCATAACGACCTTAATAATAGGCGAAAATACTCAGTGCTTATCAGAACTAATCCGTTTATCGCACCTTTCACGATCGATATCGACCGAACGCTTAGTTTTACGACAAGCATTTACCGGTAAACAGTACTAGGATCGATTCTCCCCTCAAAATGCCCACAAGCGAGCGCACTTTGAGCAAATACCGAAGCATTTTCGAGCAGGTGAGCGCATCTGAGCCAGTTTTCAACCAGTTGAGTCGCTTTTACCGGGGATTTTCAGTGCGATACCGATCAGAACAATCTGATATGCCTGGCCGAATTGACGGCCTTCCTGCGCTCCAAAGGCCACACCAACGATCTGTCCGATGAGAAAGTCTCGTATGTTTTTAAGCTGGCCAATAGGGATGGCGACAAAACGCTCAACTTTGACGAGTTCGTCTATATGCTGGAACATCCCGATCTTCAGCATCTGTTTGGGCATTACATGAACAAGTAAGATAGAACGGTGATATCAGCGCAATAAAACGAGATAGAGCACGCCCATTTTATCAGCCCCCTGTCATAAAAAGTTCTTTCATTCGCCTGGAATGTCGCCATTTGTTTGATTAGGCATGCATCTCCTAAATACCGGCGAATGATTAATCGCTGTGTCAACAAAACGTAGTTTTCGGCTCCATACAGGGCAATGCAAAAGTTGCCGCTTTTAAAACACCGGATCTTCCTCAACTGGGGTCATTTTGCATGATGCCGATTTTGCAAAGCAAAATTCCGTTCCCATTCTGGAACATAGCTCGCATCGGTTTTCTCTCTCGCACTCCCAGCGGTCTATAGGCGATGCATCATGGCCGGCCTTATGCTACGTTCCAACTTGACACCTTTGCGCCTTCAAATATCTCCAAGTTTTGGGCGAGCCGAATGAAAACTCGCACGTTTCGCACCTAAGTCGAGAGTAATTTGGCGTCGATTTCATGCAGCTACGTGAACTTCCTCATACCGCAACACAAGGAAAAACCGGTCAGAGTGGTGCCGAAAGGGCGCAGCATTCGCGTCGGCTATGCCAAAACTGCGGCCACTCAAGTGGGCTTGCAACGCCGCATTTCTATAGAATCGACAGAAATTAGCCTATTTGTCAAGGAGGATGAGGACATAGTGTATGGCGATCAGTACACCTGTTGTCCCCCACCCTTGGCTATTCTGCTAATTACGCTGCTGGAGCTCGCCTTTTTTATTGTTGGTTAGTGACACTTCTCTACAGTATGACAGATGTCAAAATTAATTCATTCCCACTCCAGATGAATCCACGGAAGATCCAGCTGTCGGCGAGATCGGAAAGACTGCTCAAGTATTCATGTACGAACCCAGCAAGCGGCATGAAGCCTGGAGGTTCCTAACCTACATGTTCGTTCACATCGGGTATCTGCACATCATTGTCAATCTGGTCATTCAGCTAGTGTTGGGCGTTCCCCTGGAGATGGTGCACAAATGGTGGCGGGTTCTGCTGCTCTATTTCGCAGGCGTGATTGCCGGCTCTTTGGCAACCTCCATTACTGATCCGCGTGTGAGACTGGCTGGGGCCAGTGGCGGCGTCTATTGCCTTCTCACTGCGCACATCGCCACCATCATCATGGTAAGAACCGGCCAGGAATGCGGTTAGGAACCCGCATTTAATGAACGCGTCTCATTGGTAGAATTGGAGCGAAATGACGTTGCCCTTCGTCCAATTGGCCATCTACTTGATTGTGGTGTTTGGCGATTTAGGCAGCTCGATATACAACCGCTACTACTTGGAGACGCAGGACCAAGTTGGGTACACTGCGCATCTTGGAGGTAGCACTTTATTTCAAGTTCAACACAGTTATGCGCAGTTGCGGTGTTTTAGGCGCAGTCGCCGGCCTGCTGGTGGGCATTTATTTGCTGAAAAACCTCAACGTGAAGAGCTGCGAACGGTACTTGTGGTGGGCGGCCGTCATCACCTATGGGGTTTTGATGGTCACGGCCATTTTCCTCAATGTGATGCTTCCCCATCGATATCCGGCTCGAGTCTGACCACTAATATAGAGCTGTTTTTTGTAATTTTTTTAAAATATAAACAATTCTAATAAAGTTTTGGAATGAAATGAAAACTCAGAAATGATGAGTTTTTTCCTAGAAAACCCACTAATCACGCAACTGGTGGCAAAATCGCCGCCATGTTGTAGCAAACCGAGCTTTTTTAATAGTAAAATACGTCAATTACAATCATCACAACCTAATTAATACAAAACGTCTGAAAAATCACTGTTGCCTCAATTCCCTTGACACATGTCTCACTCCCACTCATTACTGCACACTTGGAAGCTCGTTTGTCTCGGAAAACAAAATGGCGGCCCGACTTGGCGGCGTTGCCACTGGCCGCTTAAAAACCCTAACCAACTCGCGCCTCCTTCCCAGGCCTTGAACTGTTGCGCCTTTCAACTCGTTGCCAGATTGCGTCTCTAGATCAACGCTTCCTACTGAGTCTTCGTGCTTCTGAGCTCGTACCCCCACTTGTTCCGACTCAGTTGGTATATCTGAGCGCCCTGATTCTGATGCAAATTCTCTTTGCGCAAACTCATACAGGTGGTCACTGCCATTGGCCACAAGGTCTCCAGAGGAATCAAGTGGGCGTTGAACTCTCCATAGTGACGTGGCTGCAGTTGCGTTGCTTCTTTGCAAAATATCCTTCCTCAATGTTGAAACTACGATATTCTTCTTCCTCGCCTGGGGGTTTCTGGATGGCTGCGTTGCCAACACAGGCCTGAACTGGACGTTTTTCAGCAAAAAAGGCAACAGGGGCGGCGTTGCCGCCTGCTTTGCTGGACTTTCAGGTAACTTGGTGCTTCGGCTGGCAGAACGATCTGGAGCAAAAGTGGCGACAGAGGAAGAGGCGGGCAATTTCAAAGCAGTAGCTTGACCACGTTGCCAGCCTTTTGGGGCTTTTGGCAAATTAGTCGGAAGCTTCAGTTGAAACGCTGTTGATGTGGAATTCGCAACTGAAGTGACCCTTATTGGAAACTGCGGCTTTTTAGGAACATCGAACCCATATGAGAATGTTGAGGGCTTGTGGGAAATTCCGGGCAAGCCGGCACCACTGGGTAGCTGGACGAAAAAGGGTAAAGTCCGGGCGGAAGGGGGCTTGGGCAGGGTTAAACCTAAGCCTCCAGCGACTGTAGTACTTAGAGTGGGTGGGGCGGTGCTAGACAGCAAGCGGTTTAGGGAAAACCTCCTAGGTTTGGCAACACTGGGCAAAATCAGTCTACGACTGGAGGAAAATGTTGTCACTTTGGCAACAGCGGGCAGTCTATTTCGACTCAATGGAACACTAGGTGAAACTTTAGGAGGAAGAGTTATGGCGGCGGGGTAGGGAAAGCTTGAACTTGAAGCCAAATCGGACGCCTGATAAGTTGGAAGCAACAAATCGTTCACCAGCCTATGCGCATCAGGTTTGGCACCAGAAACCGCCCCTAAAGCTTGCCTCCATCGGGTTCTTTCACAGGGTGGAACCCCATAGTTGGCGTCTCTTTGGCGACTGAGTGCGAAGAACTTCTGGATCAATGAGGAACCTGCCGGCCTGCCGCTGTTAAGCACAGAGTCCAGCAGTCCATTGTTGCCGAGTTGATTGGTTCTCGAAGGCAGTCTGGGAAAAATAGCAACAGCTTGGGCTGTTTGAATGTTGATCAGTGCGCAAAGCGTCAGCGCGGTCTAAAAAAATCCGTTAATGCAGATTCAAATTAAAATCTCAGGAAAAATGCGACCATTTTAACAGTTTAGGTGCAAAATAGCTTTGAAGAAATTCAATATATTTCACATTACTTACCTTCAATGAGCACATGTTTTCGGGAAACAACAGAACCAACTAACATCCGCAACTGAAGAACCGAAAGAAATGCAAAAACCCTTTTTAAAGAGAATGCTATTGCGTTTAGTCATCCGTTAGACACTTTCTAGGCTCTAATTTGCCGGTGATTAATGAACCAGTGCCGTAGACCCAGAAGGGAAGTCCAAATTGAAAATGTGACGCAAAAGCAAAATAAGTATCATCTCTGTCACTCTCACATGACTGAGGGAGAAAACGGCCTCGACAGCTTTGACAGTGACAGAAGAGGTTGTCAACCTTTGCCACTAACCAGCGTTGTAAATCGCGATTACTGCAACTGTGCGCCGCCACTGACTGATTGGGTACTCAAAAACCATTTACCAGGTAGATTTCTCTTTGCTTAAAGAACCCCCACCCCCCTTAACCCGACATGAAATTAATGCGAGGATAATCGCAAATATTCAAAGAACGCAAGGCCAAACACTAAAAGGCCCTTTTAGAGGCTAATCATCAGCATTAGGCTGTGGAAGGCGTCGCGTAAAAGACGCCAACAATGACGCCAACGCTTTAATACACGAGACGCCACAGCGTCGAGACGCCGAGGCGCCGTTGTATTGCGTCATCGGGCAAATCGGTCCCCAGGGAACTGTGCCCTTGACCATACACGATGAGTGGCATTTAAGAGGGAACATGTTGATTATTTCGTAAGTTACTGCACTACTGGGTTATACAGGGTGTTGCCACAATTGGTTAGAAATAATTTTTTTTTTTTGAATTTTTCCGGAAAGATTTCTGAGAATCTGTCAAAGGTTGGTACTTCAAACCCGTACCGCCACTTCAAATACCGTCGCCATTTTCAACGGCTTTTAATGTCAGCTGAACGATCCGGATTGGGGCATTAGAGGCCCAACAGGGGGCGGAGCTACGATATTTATAGTAGGTCCCAAGCTAGTTGTCCGCGACGTCATTATTTACAATGGAAACTATGGAAATTTACTCATAACCGAGAGGTTTTCTGTCATATTCCGAGGTTGCAAGCTTGAGCGTTTGTTCCTGATTTGAAAACACTTATCTATATTAAATCAGATATTACCGTTATAGCACGGTTTAATTGAAGTTTATTATATTTTCAAACTATCTTGAAAAGATCGCTTGTTGGACAAGTAGAAGAAAAAGAGCAACTCTTGCGTCACTGCCAAAAAGCTTGGGACATATTATACAGGGTTATTCACGTTATACGGCACGGAAGTTTGCGGCTAAACCGTTTGATTTTTAAAAAGTATTATTTTATGAATTGTCCGACGCCTACCGAGCGCACATTTTAAAAATATTTTTGTAATGTACAGAGTGTCCCAAAAACTCTAAAGTCAAAGTTACGTTTTTTTCAATGGGAAATCTTAAGGTTTTTTAAATAATACGAATTTAATCAAAATCTAATCTAATTTTCACGTGTCAAATACTTTAGAAGTATTTAAGTTATGTAAGCGTAA